TAGTTGTTGCACTTTCTGACTGTATAATAGTATCTACAGAGGCAATATGCTTTGGTTCTGCAAGACTAGAGTGCTCAATGCCTGATTCAGGCAGAGCGGCGTACACAAAGGCACACAATGAAAACCTTGGCAAATTTGTTCCGTTGTGACTCAGAGTTTCATGGCTGAACCAATCATCAGACAACGATAATGGAATAGGACGCAGCGCTGGTATATCTAAGTGGAGAGAGGTGTGATAATACGATAGCGAGAGGAGTAATCGCGTGAATGTATACAGGGACGGGCTATTTCAGAGGCAGATGCAGTAGGCGCAGGTCTAGCACTAACAAGTACGCGCTTAATCTCGCTCACACACCACACACACACATAATAACACGCACACACATAGTAACACCCACACACACATACACACATACACGCACACACTAACACACACGTGTGCAGGTTAGGGTGTTGTGGGTGGGTGTATGTGTGTGTTAGTGTGTGCGTGTATGTGTGTATGTGTGTGTGGGTGTTACTATGTGTGTGCGTGTTAGTATGTGTGTGTGTGGTGTGTGAGCGAGATTAAGGGGAACTGAACGCCAAAAATAAGTATGGCTTATCCGAAGGAGAATTGGGCACTGATTCCGATGAGCTATGTCTCGAGCCGATCAGAGAAGAGGAACCGTGTCAAATTTCATAAATAACACCTTCCATATTTGGAAATTGGGCTTGATGACGTGCGTACTGCTTAGCTGTCACCATGCTGTGCATGCTCAGCAGTGTAATTGAATGGAAGAAAACAATTACTTTGGTGTTTTGCAGCTCTGTTTCGTTCCCTGACGGTAACCAAATCTAGATGTAGGAATCTGCTGAGCAGGAGAGTGACACATGTCTTCCCGAAGGCTGTCCAGGCTGCAGTGGTGATGAAGAAGACACGATCATCACCCCAAGATCGATTGTAGCGAATTGGAAACTCATCATCGGGTGAATTTGCTTCCACACCAAGGCAAGGTCGAGGTATGAAGGGTGCTTGTACTGCCTTCCAAAGTGAAGAGGAGATGAACATGGCTTTGCATAGCTGTTGTTTTATGCCAACTTACCTACTCCTGCTGGTACCGTAGTGGCATATTGCAAATTTCGTGGACGAACAACTCTAGTCACTAGTGGCTAGTGAGCAACACTAACAGGTGAGATTTTTCAATTTGACAAAAAACATTTTTTGTTTGAGAACTGACAGTGGCAGTCATTTGACTCAGTAGGTGTCTCTCTGCTGCTTCTTTCCCTTCATCGGTAGGGTTGTGCTTGAATAGTACAAGTGCTTGAAGTAAAATAAAATAAATAGAACATGTGGAACATAAATCTAATCAAGCATCAGTACATGTATTGCGAATTTCAACTTCAAAGCACATGAAATTACAATGATCACAAAGTTTATGGAATCAGGAGTACACCCTGTGTTCAACGAACACATACACACATGCTGTATTTCGCACACACATGCACACATGTGCGTGCACCCCCACCCCATCCCACAGACACACGCATGCAGCGCGCACATCCATACACATGTGCGTGTACCCCCCCCCCCCACACACACACACTCCTACCCATACACATGTGCGTGCCACCCCCCATACACATACGTGTGCACATACAGATACACAAACACACACGCACGAACACACAAGATACGTGTAAGTGTACATGGTCTTCTTGGTGCAGATGCAGAGCCAGCACAATGGACAATACCTCCATCAAGATGCTGGATCAAGTGTTGTGATAATGACACTGTTTGTTTGTTTTTACTAAAAAGTGTGGGAAGGATTACAATGCGTTATAATTCATAATTGTTCTTTGCCTTGTACTGTGCAGACCAGAATGCTTCGCTATCAACTCCTGGTTTTCCATCGGCATGGTGTTCAGCTGCAGCGGCATCTGGTCCGGGGAGTTCAAGTTGCTGGATGGCTGCACTGACACAGGATGGGTTTGCGTTGGCAATGCGATACGGTAGTCATCCCACATCATGAGCTACATGTTTATGTAATTTATATTGTCGCTCGTCCAGCAACGTCAAGGCTCTGCATGTAAACACAGGAGAACACCATAATACTACTCATTTGGATTATCAATTTCGTGACATTTTTGAGTTCCTGTCTAAACCATGCCGTGATATTGATTGCTATCAGCTCACAAAGTACCTTGTATTGTAACAATACTCTGCCTAATCACTACCCTCCACCAAATATTAGATTGACACAATATTCACAACGTATGCAACACGATGCTGTCTATTGACACTACTTCAAGCTGAAATGCTCACTACTCTTCTCCCGTTTCAAGTCATCTCCCTCTACCTTGTGAATACTCTACATTACTGGTTTCGTTTCTACCTTTTCCATTGCTGCCAGCTCCCAGTCTTTTTCAATGCACAGCACCACCTTGAAATTTTTGTGATTTGATTTGATTTGATGTACACATACTTTGAAGTTGACATTCGAATTACATGATCAGATTTTTGTTCCACATTTTCTATTTATTTTTACTTCAAGCACAACCCTACGGATGCAGGGAAAGAAGCAGCAGAGAGACACCTACTGAGTCTAATGACTGCCACTGTCAGTTCTCAAACAAAAAATGTTTTTGTCAAATTGAAAAATCTCACCTGTTAGTGTTGCTCACTAGCCACTAGTGACTAGAGTTGTTCGTCCACGAAATTTGCAGTATGCCACTACGGTACCAGCAGGAGTAGGTAAGTTGGCATAGAAGAACAGCTATGCAAAGCCATGTTCACCTCCTCTTCACTTTGGAAGGCAGTACAAGCACCCTTCATACCTCGACCTTGCCTTGGAGTGGAAGCAAATTCCCCATGAGTTTTCCAATTCGCTACAATCGATCTCGGGGTGATGATCGTCTCTTCTTCATCACCACTGCAGCATGGACAGCTTTCGGGAAGACATGTGTCACTCTCCTGCTCAACAGATTCCTACATCTAGATTTGGTTACCGTCAGGGAACGAAACAGAGCTAGCTGCAAAACACCAAAGACAAGTAATTGTTTTCTTCCATTCAATTACACTGCTGAGCATGCACAGCATGGTGACAGCTAAGCAGTACGCACGTCATCAAGCCCAATTTCCAAATATGGAAGGTGTTATTTATGAAATTTGACACGGTTCCTCTTCTCTGATCGGCTCGAGACATAGCTCATCGGAATCAGTGCCCACTTCTCCTTCGGATAAGCCATACTTATTTTTGGCGTTCAGTTTCCCTTTAAGCGCGTACTTGTTAGTGCTAGACCTGCGCCTACTGCATCTGCCTCTGAAATAGCCCGTCCCTGTATACATTCACGCGATTACTCCTCTCGCTATCGTATTATCACACCTCTCTCCACTTAGATATACCAGCGCTGCCTCCTATTCCATTATCGTTGTCTGATGATTGGTTCAGCCATGAAACTCTGAGTCACAACGGAACAAATTTGCCAAGGTTTTCATTGTGTGCCTTTGTGTATATGTAGGACTCAGTATAGAGTCCATGCACTATATGATGTCCAGCACCCTATATAGAGTCCATTGGTCCAAAATCCACTATACAGAGTCCAGGAGTCCACTCACTGACTCAGTTTTGATCAGCTTCATCCTGCCGCGCAATCCCCTATAAGGAGTACACTTTTTCTACAAGTCCCCTATTCACGGTCCAGGAGTCCAGTTTATCCAGTCACGCCGTCCTGTGTGTTGTGCCCCGAAAGAGAACACATTAAAAAAAAATTTCAGTTTTGCTTGCCTCGTGGCAACGCATTCCTTTCTTCACTTCAGCCATGGCTGCCAATTCTGCTGTGCAGTTGCTGACAGTAATCTGTCTCGAGCTAACCAAGGAGGATAAGGAGACGTTCAAAATCAAATCTGGAAAGCGTCTTGTGGTTCTCTGAAGACGTTTCATCAGTGCGCGGGATGAAAGCAGAAATTGCAGAACGAGAAAAGTTCAGCACAGTTCAAATCTGACGAGTCAGGTACACTGACGCTCTCTTTCGTTCGACGCCACAAGGATCCCCTGTTTGGCTGGCCATTGCTGCCAGTAAGACGTTTGAACGGTTTCATCAGAGCGAGGGATGAAAGCAGAAAGCGGAGAAAGAGAAAAGTTCAGCACAGTTGCAATCTGACGAGTCAGATACACTGACACTCTCTTTCGTTCGACGCCACAAGGATACCCCTGTTTGACTGGACAAGAGCTGCCTGCACCGTGTCAAAAGGCTGTCCAACTACATGGCAGGACGATGACTGAGGTAAGGAAGCTTTTACTCGTTTCGATTGGTCTGCTGTTCTTGTCGTCGTTGTCATCGCATCGACAAGAGTTTTTTTTGTCTTTTATAAGGTTTTATTATTGCTATTGATGTAGCTCTGAGCTACTGATTAGAGCAGGAAAAAACTGGTCTCTACTCTAAGAAGAGACATGAAGAAGACTAGCGAAAAGCTGCTTGTAGAGCAACAAAATATAAAGTCGGCAAGTTCTTGCTGGGAACGGCGCTACATTCGGATCACTGGATCCATACTAGGCTCAAGCGATTCCTCAGGGGTCAGCGCGAAGGCAGAAATAGGCATGCGTGTACAGCCAGAAATGGACGTGTGTACACATAGGAGAGCAAGGGAAGCGCAACGCGAGCTGTAGCAGCCAGAAACGGATACATGCGCAGAAAAGAGAGCACACCGCGACATGCATGGCAGCCAGAAATGGATACATGCGCAGAAAGAGAGCACACCGCGACATGCATGGCAGCCAGAAACGGGTACATGCATACAACAGAGAGCAAGTAGAGCACACTGCTAGCTGCAGGACAGCCAGACATGGCTGGGTGCGTACAAAAGGGAATCGCTTGGTGCCAAAAAAGGGGGCACATAAATGATCACGACTGATGTTCGTGACACTCCCCACCAAGAAGAAAGGAGAGAAAATGAGCGAAAGAATAATTTGAGAAAAATCAGTACAGGAAAGAGGAAAGGAGAAATATGCTTACTGGTAGCGCTAGACGGCATCATCTTCAATGAGACTCTTCAGCGCAATTCTCTGCTTGGCTGCGGCAGCGCGCTGTGGACGAGATGTAGTAGAGTCTGTGACGGCATCAGGTTCAGAGGCGACATCTGCTGTAACACCGGCTGGTGGTGTCGCTGTCACGCTCAGTTCCAGCGGATAGAGTAAGCTGAGTGGACGCTTCAGTGTGCGTCGATCAGCAGTGGTGACAGACGCCGACCGGATCTTGTCGTCTGCACTGACATGTACTTCACACACCTTGCCCAATCTCCAAGATGCTCGGGGAAGCTGGTCCTTTATCAACACAACTTCTCCAATTGCAGGTGTACGATGGAGGACAGAACGGCCTTGGCTGTGATGGGTGGTGTGCGTTGAGCGTAGACTCAGCAGGTAGTCATTGCACCACATGCGCCAAAACTCATGGAGGCGGTTCTGACCTTTCTTCCAACCGGCGAGTAACTCTTCGGCAGTGGTTGGAGTCGGGCAGAAGTCAGGGTCGTCACTTGTCTCCGGGAGATCAAAGAGGCCAGTGCTCTGGCTGATGGAGAGGAAGTGACCAGGTGTCAGTACAGTACGGACATCTTCGTCGATGTAAACAAGTGGACGGGAATTCACAACTGCTTCTATCTCAGTGAGCAGCGTGCTGAGGTGTTGAAGACTGACTAGGGATCTGCCCAGTGCCTTCTTCATAGCTTTCTTCACTGTGCCCACAAGCCTCTCGTAGAATCCACCCATCCATGGTGCTGATTCCACTATGAATTGCCATTGGATATCATGACGGGCGAAGTGGGACCTGACGTCCTCATGGTGTAGAATATCGCGGAATGCGACTTCTAAAGCTGTGGCCGCTGCCTTGAATTGGGGCGCATTGTCCGACACTATGAGTGCTGGGGTTCCACGTCGTGCAACAAATCTGCGGAAGGCTAGCAGAAATTCACTTGTGGTCATGTTGCTCACTGTTTCCAAATGCACTGCTCTGGTGGACATGCAGGAAAACAAACAGACCCAGACCTTTGTAGCAACTGGCTGGCCACGGACATATACTGGGCCAAAGAAATCAATTCCAGTGTGGCTGAAGGCTCTGGATGGCTTCACACGCGATGATGGCAAGGGGGCCATATCTGGCTTGGCGAATGGGGGACCACTGTGATGCCGGCAAACCTGGCAAAGTCGCAGAGTGGATTTGACTGCCGCTCGTCCCTTCGGTACCCAGTACTTCAGTCTTAGGCTGGCGAGCGTGTGGTTCACACCGAAGTGAAACACTTTCTTGTGGCAGTCAGTGATGACGAGGCTGGCTACAGCTCTGGGTAGTAGGATCGGGAACTTGGCGTCATTGCACAGGTCTGCATTCTCCAGTCGTCCACGACACCGGATGATACCGTCTTCATCACTGAACAGGCCTAGCTTGCCGATCAGCTGATGAGGCTTGTTGGATGCCAAGCAGTCGACAACGTCTGGGTAGTGTCGCTGCTGCCAATGGCGTATCCAAAGCAGTTGTGCTTGTTCTGTTTCCCTGCTGCTGAGAGGGAGAGGCCCAGCCACGGCCCCTCCCGGTAGCTTCGACTTGAGTCTGGACACAAAACGGGCACACAAACCAGAGACACGTACTAAGGTGTAGAACGAACTAAACCGTGTTACATCAATATCAAATGGGGGTGTTTCATCACATCTTTTTTTTTGCTTGTGATGTGCATCGGGTTTTTTATTGTGTGGTTGCTGAGACTCTGGCACCTGTGAATCCGGAGGACCCTCCCCAAGGGCGATGGTGGCGTGCACGATTGGGCCATTTGATGGTAGATCAGCTAGAGGCTGCGTGAGGAGGGGCGGTCCGTGCCACCAGAGGATGTTGTCCAGTAGGAACGAGGTTGATGCTCCTCGTGACGGTAGATCCGCTGGGTTGTGAGCTGAGCGAACATGACGGCACTGGAGATCGTTGACGGCTCGTATTGCGGTTACACGGTTGAGGACAAAGACTGGCAACTTGTCATTTGATTGTAGCCAGTGGAGAACGGTGGTCGAATCAGACCACAACACTGTGGAGCAGAAGGCCAAAGGAAGCTCCTTGCGTAAGTAGAGGATGACTCGGGCACCAAGTAGAGCTGCCATCAGCTCGAGGCGGGGGATGGAGCACGGCTTTACTGGCGCAACACGAGACTTGCTGTAGATGAGGTGAGATGCCCGCTCGTGGGCATTGTCGGTAACAAGATAGGCAGCTACGCCATAGGCTGCTTCAGACGCATCGCAGAAGACATGGAGCGCATGCGAGACATTGGGTGATGCGTTGCCGACGTACCGAGGGAAGGCTACAGTATGCGCTTCTTCTAAATCAATCGCAATACTCTGCCATCGATCCAAGATTTCAAGTGGAAGAGGGTCATCCCAGCCTACATCTAACTTCCACACGTCCTGGAGAAGTATCTTGGCACGCACCAGAACAGGAGAAAGCAATCCAAGGGGATCGAAGAACTTGGCCACGGTTTGCAGTAGGTGACGTTTGGTTGCTATGACGGCATGGGTGGCAGCGACCTTTGTACAGAAGAGACTATCTTGACAGGTATCCCAAAGCATACCAAGGCACTTTTGTGTACCGGTTGAAGCGCAATCGAGTTCGGGAACGTGGTGAAGGAACTCTGGACTGTTGCTGGACCATTCTCGGGCATTCATCGATGCGGCTGAGAATAACTTCTTCGTTGCAGTGTACTTATGAAGGGCCTCATCAGGAGAGGTTGCGCCGATAAACAAGTTGTCTACATAGATATTCCGAAGAAGTTCTTGCGCGTCTGGGACGTCGGCAATAGAGAGATGATGGCGAACAGTAGCTGCTAGAAGGAAGGGGCTACTGATCACCCCGAATGGCACACGACAGAAGCGGTAGACTACAAGATTCTCTGGTGAGGGTGGTTGATCAAGGTCCTTGACCCACAGAAAACGAGTGACGTCTCTGTCCGCTTTGCATAGGCTGAGTTGAAGGAAAGCTTTTTCTATGTCACTGGAAATGGCAATAGGCGAAAGGCGGAAACGCAGAAGGACTCCAGCGAGATCAGGGACGAGGTTCGGGCCAGCAGCTAGGCAGTCGTTCAGGCTGGGGTGGGAGCGTGAGAGCTTGGCGGAAGCATCGTAGACTATTCGGAGCTTTGTAGTCGTGTGTGAAGGCTTCTCTACGCAGTGGTGGGGAAGATAATGCACAGAATTCGAAGTGGGCCCAGGCGGTACTATCTCAATAATGCCTTTGGTCAACTGATCTTGCAACACACTGTTGTACTGTTGAAGAAGAGTACGCTTTGACGTGACACGTTTCAAAAGGGAGGTCAGTCGGCCCAGTGCTAATCCGTAGTTGGATGGAAGTTCGTCGTGCAGGTCCCGCCATGGCCACTCGACAACATAGCGAGAGTCCTCGAAAGAGAGTGTGTGGAGGAATCGCTGAAGAACGATGTCTTCGTGGTCTGCGTTGTCTGGGACAGGGAACTCTTCCGCTGCCCAAAACCGCTGCAAGTCCATAGAGGGATCTCCATCGTTGTGACTGTGGACTGCAAGACATGATTGACCCTCCGACGTGGCCGGTGTAGGTACCGTACCTGTACAAATGAAGCCGAGGGAAGACTGCAGGAGGACAAGTCCCCCTGGAAGTTCCAAGCGGTCTGGACCCACAATATGGTAGTAGTGATCGAGGCCCACCAGTATGTCGATGGGCAATGAGCCTGAAGAAGAAGCTAGCGGTTCGGCAAGGGGCAAGGATTGCAAGACTGGATACCGCTTTGCCAATTCTACCCTCTGAATTGGTGCAGTTATTTCTGGTAACACACATGCTTTGAGGAGGTGCATAGAGCCATCATTGCACTGCACCCTAACTTCCACCTGGTCATATTCTGTTGTGTGTCGCTTGCTATTGCCAAAGGTTGCTAAAGAAATATACTGCTTACCGACTGTAGGCAGGTTGAGACGTGTTGCTAAGTGTGAAGTGACATACGTTCGATTTGCACCAGTGTCGAACAAGATTCTCGCATTGACAATGTCACCATCGTGTGTTGAGCATGATGCTACAGCCGTTTGCATTACGACATGGCTACCACTGTTCGCTGTTAGTGTGTTGGCGTGAGGTGTGAAAACCTCTGCATGAGCACTTAGGCTGGTTTGGGATGAGGCTGTGAATTTAGTCGGGCACAAACTGCGGTGATGGCCAGACGTTTTGCAATGATAGCAAGTGATTGTGCTAGTGCATTCACGTGTACTGTGCCGTGTACTGAAGCATTTGAGGCAACGACCTTTAGCTGCCTTCTGTCTGTCATTGATCGTGGTAACTTTGGTGCATTCATCTGTATAATGTGCGGCCTTGCAAAATGCACAAGTAGGCTTTCGCCGAGACATTGCTTGTGCTGGTAATGAATGCCCAGAAGATGGAGATGGGGAAGGGGATGCGGCATGAGAGGCCTTGAAGCTGCTCGTATCGTTGGGCTTCTTTGGAGGGCAAAGGCGATCTGCCGCTTCGTGTGCCGCAATGTACACTCCTAGAGCGTCTCTTAAGTCCTGGCAGGTCCATGGCGTTGGGCCCTTTTTTAGCTCAAGGGTTACAAGTGTGGCACGTGGAAGTTTGCTTGTCATGATGGAGATAATTACGCCTGAGTCAGTTTTCTCGCCGAGAGCATCAAGGCTACGCAAGTGAATTTCTAACTGGTCATACAACTTGCGTAAAGAGGTCGTGGTGTTCGACGCGGAAGGTAAGTCGAGCATTGACGTGTAATGCGAATCCACCAGTACTTGTTTGGTGCCGAATCGGGCACGGAGGATATCCAATGCAATGGTGTAGTTTGCGTTCGACAAAGGGAGGCCGGAGATGGCGTCATGGGCCAACCCAGTAACGTGGTCCTTGAGGTAGGTGAGTTTTTGTATATCTGACAGCCCCGTGTTATTGTCAATTGAGGACATGAACATGTCATGGAATTCGCTCCATTTCAAAAAATCTCCAGAAAATTTGGAAATTTCAAATTTTGGTAATTTGACAGATGTTGATGTTGGAGTAGTACAAGGCTGAGATTGAGATTGTAGCGTGTTGAGGAGAGCGGTCTGTTGTTGTAGGAGCTGTGACTGTGTTTGAGTCATGGATTTATGTTGTTGTTGTGTGGTAGATAGCAGTTTTGTTGCGGTAGCGTGTAGTGATGCTGAGGCTAAGACATGTTGATCATGTGAGTCTGGGTCGCTAGCGCCAGCTGGGTTTCCGATCGCGCTAGGCGATGACGTGTGTAACGTGCGTTTGATTGCAGTGATTGTGGAGCGTACAGATGATGAGCAATTTACACAATCCTCTAACTCAGTTTCAACATCTTCTTTAGAGATACCCAGATTCTCAGGAACCAAAATCTCAGCTAAACTACCACAAAAATCGTCATATGCTAATAAGGAAGATTCTAAAACAGAGCACAAGAAACTTAGCTTTTGCAAGGTGTCCGGATCGGGAGAGGCAGGTTCGATGGTCTGGAGCAGGGCAGAGGCTTCCTTGATGTCTCTCTGAATGGCCACTTGCTGCACATGCACCTGCCTACGTCTGAGGAACAAAGTCCCGACGGGCGTCTTATCCTTCTTCGCTGGCATCTACTTAGTAGGGTTTTGGCACCAGTTTGTCGTCGTTGTCATCGCATCGACAAGAGTTTTTTTTGTCTTTTATAAGGTTTTATTATTGCTATTGATGTAGCTCTGAGCTACTGATTAGAGCAGGAAAAAACTGGTCTCTACTCTAAGAAGAGACATGAAGAAGACTAGCGAAAAGCTGCTTGTAGAGCAACAAAATATAAAGTCGGCAAGTTCTTGCTGGGAACGGCGCTACATTCGGATCACTGGATCCATACTAGGCTCAAGCGATTCCTCAGGGGTCAGCGCGAAGGCAGAAATAGGCATGCGTGTACAGCCAGAAATGGACGTGTGTACACATAGGAGAGCAAGGGAAGCGCAACGCGAGCTGTAGCAGCCAGAAACGGATACATGCGCAGAAAAGAGAGCACACCGCGACATGCATGGCAGCCAGAAATGGATACATGCGCAGAAAGAGAGCACACCGCGACATGCATGGCAGCCAGAAACGGGTACATGCATACAACAGAGAGCAAGTAGAGCACACTGCTAGCTGCAGGACAGCCAGACATGGCTGGGTGCGTACAAAAGGGAATCGCTTGGTGCCAAAAAAGGGGGCACATAAATGATCACGACTGATGTTCGTGACAGTTCTGTCGTTATGCTTGAATTTTTTTCCATTTTCAAGGAGCGTATCGCGTTTGTTTGATGTTGCTTGAATGAATGCCTTAAAAGTAATCAACCACTTCGTAATAGTCCTCAAGGACTGCAAGGACTTTGCATCAATCGTATATGATCGTCTAGCTATCATCAATTTTTATTTCATGAGAAATGTATTTTTATCCCTGTGATAATTATGTGAACTCCACGACACTCTTCCTGTAGTATGATGTCGAATACAATGGGATCCACAAACGCAGTGCCAGTGTACTAGTAGTAGTAGGACTAGGAGGATTGCTTGTATGCCAATGACAAGAAAAAGCTTCTCAAGCTAATACTCGTATTCCCTGAAGTAACCGTTTTGATGTCACGAACATGACATTGTGTCAGTGAAACTGCCTCGTGACAACAAATCATTGCATTTCCATCTTGGGGAAGACTGACTGACAGCAACGCTGTACAGATTGTTCAAATCATCTCATTTCAATTTAGTTGCAGTGAAGTGAAACACTGTGTACACTACATGTATGTTGGTGTGTCTGTGCGTTTTGAGTGTGCACAAACGATCTTATTCCTCGTATTACTAATAGATTTTTGTACCCACCATCACCTGTTCACAGGTCTTTGAGTGGATTGATTTTCATTGAGCATCACATTCGTTGAGAACTTGGTAGTTGTGTGCTCCCATGCATCATTACGGTAATAAGCGTATCCTTGTGCTATCTATTTGTTGCAGGTGTGCTGATCTTCAGAAGCTTGCGGAACTGAGTGCTGCTGAAAATTTGCATGGCCATGAGCAATGGTGAAGCTTGCTATTGCACTCTCAGCATGTGCTAGTATTATGCTGACCACTGCACTATGTTACTCTCTTACACTACTACGTGTATGTAAACGTGCGTGTACCCGTCCCCGTACGCATTCGTTTCGTATAATTATTTGTTATCCCTCTTGACTTTACATGTAAATGGCTGGACGTTTGCATGGCTGTTGGAGTTGCGTGTGTATTGTGTCTCTACTCTTTTCTTGGTGTTTTCTTGGCGTTGTATAAGTGTGTGTGTGTGTGCGCGCGCGCGCGCGCGCGCACAATAATTTGAAAACAAATAATTAATCCTGGGCTCTCCATTATTCTCTTTCGATTCTTGGTTTTTTTCTAGGTATTTTCTTGGCGTTGTGTGGGTGTGTGCATGTGTGTGTGCGTGCACAATAATTTGGCAACACTACATGATTGAGATATTGTAATTTGCAGCGTCTGCGAAGAGACCACTTGATTTGAGGATGGTGTTTGTAGGGTTTTTCATGTAATGACGTGGCTGCAGTGGCGCCTCAATACATATTTTTTATCTTGAGAAGTGAATGATGTAAAGGATTAAAGGGAGAGGCCGTTTTCTGGTTAATATTCACTGCTTACAGCAGATCCTATGTCTATTTTCGAACTCGATAGGGGATGCCTAATTGGCTGGACTTTATACAGGGGGTGTTGTCCACATAAAGACTCTTTATAGTTGATTTCAAAGTTTGGACTCCGTACAGTTGATTTTGGACCAATGGACTCTATATAGGGGTGAAGCCAATTGGCTGGACTCTATACAGGGAGTGATGTCCATCGAAACTTTGAGCTCACAGTTGATTCCAAGTTTGGACTCTGTACAGTGGATTTTGGACCAATGGACTCTATATAGGGGTTGGACATCATATAGGGGCTGGACGCTCTACTGAGTCCAACATATATAGTATCTAGTTACAGTGGTGGAGAGTTACTCTAACTCGTTTCCATATGTCCTTTTCTTTTCTACTTTTATTATTGGCTCAATACCCGAGTTTCAAATTATTATTATTATTATTATTATTATTGTGGAAAGTAAAAGGACAAAATTACGAGTGAAGAGTAACTCTCCATCACGGTAA